TTTCATAATAGTCATATCAAATGGAAATTACATAACGGAATAAGAAAATCTAACAGTTCCCTCTTAAGAAATATCTAAATTTGTTAAATTTATTTATTACTTAATTTTTATCTTTGATATTATTATAAAATTACTTCTTTTCATTGACTTTGAATTTGATGGTTTTCACACAACATACAAGTTCTCCATTTAATATTCTTGATCTCTTGGTTTTTTTTTTTCCAATTCTTCCTTCCTCTTTCAGCTTTCCTCTGATGGTTGAGAGATTGTGTTCTTTTCTGATTGCCATAAGACTATGAAAAAGAGGGAGAGATCATGACCCCTATCTTGATAGCCATTCTTTTGTTTATCTAATAGGAGAGGGGAGGATTTCCTTATAATTGTGTTCATAATTGTACCCCAAATGACTTTATATTGAATATTTAACAACCATCACATTAAATCTTTAATTAAAGTTATATTAAGTTACATAATTCAATATATAGATTATTAAAATAATACAACAATTTCTCACTTGACCTATGTGACGACTTGAAGGTTCAACGAGCTATAAGTGAACGTATAATTAAAATTATCAAGTCATTATCTTTCATTGATTTAAATTGATCGGATCATAGCAGTCACAAGTCATTCAACGACATGATTTCTTTCAAGTATCACATAACTAACTCAAATCAAAATAACTTTAACTTGTTAGTTATACTACAAACTGTAACTTTGATGTGTTTTCAACATTCAACCTGTTATTATATAAACCATACACATACATAACACAATTCAAATAACAAGCAAACAGAAACAATATTTTTATTGAATTCTTAAAATGTCTATGAGCAAAACAATTCATACACATATGTGAATCACACAATCATGTTAACAAGGAATTATCTATAATGATTATTCTTCTAACATGGCCAAAAAAATGTTTTAGGGCACAATCCTTAGTTAGCGGATCTGTTGTCATCAGATTAATACCAATATGTTCAATAGACACTATATGTTTTAGTGTCTATGTGTTTTGCTCTCTTTGAGTACTTATCATTCCTAGGAAGAAGATAACTGCAAAATTATCACAATAGATTCTCAATGACTTTTCAATACTATCAATGACTTTTCAATACTATCAACAACACCAAGCCCTTAAACTCAGTGACTTTTCAATACTATCAATAACACCAAGCCCGAAAATAAAATTATGTAGCCAAAAAGCATCAACAGTAGCCTCAAAGCATGCCACAAATTCCACCATAGCTGTAGCAATAATGGACTCCTTTTTGCTATTTCATGAAATCACACCTCCAGCTAACAAGAAGATGTAGCCAAATATCGATTTCCTTAAGTCTACACACGCAACATAGTCTGAATCTGTAACGCCCTGAATTTTGTAAAATTAATTATTAATAATTATATAAATATAAATGTATATTCATATGTGTATTTTTTAGATATATATGTATGTGTATATATATATGTGTATATGCATGATTAGTTGAGCTGAAATGGGCTAAGTGCCTAAGTACAGGGCGAGATACTAGGCTGTTTTTGCTGTAGCGAGAAGGCCCTAGGAGGAAGGATTGAAAAGGTCACTTTCTCGCTGTAGCGAGAGACGTCTCTCGCTACAGCGAGAGAGCGACAGTTTGAGGTGCATTTATGGGTGCAGTCTCGCTGTAGCGAGAGGGTCTCGCTGTAGCGAGAGGGTCTCGCTGTAGCAAGATTTTGCAGAAACCAGAGTGCAGTTTTCTCTAGTTTTTTTGCTGTAACGAGTGGGCATGTCGCTGTAGCGAGAGTGTCACGACCAGAAAAGGATTTATAGGGGGTTAGGATTCGGGGAGAGTTATTTCTCCCTCTCCTTTCGATCCTCTCATGCCGAAAGACCTATTCCACCGATTAATTACCTCCAAAGTCGTTCGGGAGCGAGATTGGAGCTCGAATTTGTGTGGGGAACGCTTGGAGGTGAGTTTTAAACAGTTAGGGTTTCAATTTTTAATCCTTTTTCTCTGTTTTCGTGGTTTCCTTGGGTTCTCATGGAGTTTCTCCATGTGTTTAGGACAAAATTCGTGAGGGGGAGCACTTCTTAGTGGATTTAGCGTGTGGGACATCAATCCGAGGTAAGGGGGGACTCTACCTTATCTCAATGTATTATAATTCTTGTGTGTTTTGTTGATTAATGCAATGTGACTGAGATAGAGAGTAGGAATTGTGTGTTTGATGGAATTTAGTGTGTAATGTGATGTGTGCTGGAATAGTTAGACTCTGTGTGGGTGATTGTGTGTGATGAATTGCCTTTGATTGGTAAATTAATGTGGTTGTGAATAAATGAAGGCTATGTGTCATATATTGTGAACAAATGTGGGCCTGAGGGCCGTGTAATATTGATGAATATTGGCTGTGTGCCGTGTAATGTGAAATGAAATATATGTGTGAATGGGCGTGTTAGCGCCGTTGTAATGTGCTGTGGATGGTTCAGTGATACATTGGGGGTGTGGAAGATAAGGACGGTAGAAATACTTTAGGGAGGGAGAGTGGTGGTGACACCGACTGTGGAACGAGTGCACCACGGGCCACACACTCTCTTCTTGACTATACCTCTGACCACTACCTTTGTTGAGCAACCTGTGACTGCCCACGTGGTATCCGTGAGACAGGGGTAACCAGCGACCATTAATGGTGTAAATCTGTGATCACAGTGCTATAGTGAGTGTGGCTGTTGTGTGTTGTGCTTGTGAATGTAAAATGTTGCCTATGATTGTTTTTGCTTAATGTATTGGTAATATGTTGGAGGTGAGACTCTATGCTGACTATGTGCTTTTGGGTAGTGTAGAGTACTCACCCTTACATTCATTTTTCAGGTAATCAAGACGATCAGCACCAGACTCAGTGAAGGGACGAATGGACCGCTATAGGACATAAAATTTACTTTCAAAATGTTGTAATTGAACTAGTCCTGTAGTAGTCATTTGATATTAATTTGTAACCCTTAACTTATTTCGAAATCTTTTATGAAAAATTTGGTTATTCGATTTGCAAAATTATTGTTTTTATTGGAATTAAATTTAAGTTGTTACAGAATTTGAGTAGCCAATCACCTCCAGATGATCAAATCTTCTATAAGTAAGCATGTAATAAATACCTAATGACTTTCCTTGTAATCTTCTAGTGGTCCATTATGAGATTACTTTAATATCGATCTAACATTCTAATAGTAAAACTGATACATGGCCGAGTGCATGTTTGAGCATATATTTAACTCATTCTTGAGACATTGCATTTCACTAAACTTGTCTCCTTTTTGAATTGAAACAACCCTTGATGAAATCACTTTTCCATTTTGAATCTCTGTAAGACTTTCTTAATATAGCTTTTCTGAGACAACTCTAGTAATCCTTATGATCTATTATAGAGTATTTATATTCTAATCACATAGGAGGCCTCACTCATACTTTTCATCTCAAGATACTTAGAGAGAAACACCTTTACATTATTCAATAATCCAACATCATTAGTAATAAGAAGAATGTCATCAACATACAGGACTAAATTAATGAACTTGCTCCCACTAACCTTCATGTAGATACACCAGTTAACAGTGTTCTTTACAAAACCATATGACGTAATGGTAAAATTAAACTCAAGATACCATTGTCTGGAAGCTTGTTTCAACCTATATATTGACTTTCTTAACTTACACATCAAATTCTCTTTCCATGTAGTCAAGAAACCATATGGTTGATCTATGTATACTTTCTCTTCCAAGTCACTATTCAGAAAGGCAGTCTTTACATCTATTTTTTGAAACTCTTAGTCATAATTAGTCACCAAAGTCATAACAAGTCTTAAAAAGTTGTTCTTAGATACTAGAAAGAATGTATCTTTATAGTCTATGTCATCTTTTTGAGTGTACCCTTTAGCAACAAGTCTAGTCTTATATCTCTCAACGCTGCCTTTTGAGTCTTGTTTGGTGTTAAAGACTTAGTTAGAACTGACTTGTTTTGAGCCTTTAGACAACTTAATTAGTTCTCACACCTTATTGTCACTCAGTGATTTTAATTCTTCTTTCATGACATTTAACCACTTTTCAGAATTATTACATTTTATAGCTTGCTTAAATTAGACTAGATCTTTATCAATACTCAAGTTACATTCATGTTCAAGTGAGTAAACCACATAATTACTTGAAATAGCATGTCTTATATGCCTTGCAGACCTTCAATACTATCTCTTTTAGTTCTTTTTTCACTTACTTGATTGTAACTTGTGCATTGTCAGTTGAATTAATGATAATAGAAATATTGAATTATATAAAATAAATTTTGTACATTTAAATACAAATGTTTGACTAAGTGTTTTTTATTATTTAAATCATTAAGAATTAATATGACATTTAATATTGTATACAATATATATATATATATAATTAAAATTCAACATTTATATCTTTTAATTCTTTTTATAAAATTTAAAATTAACAAATATAATCGTTAAATTACCTTATCAAACTTTTGTATCTTATAAAAAATTTAATATTTATTTATATTTAATAATATATTAACTATTAAAATAAAGTAATATAATAAAGTATTTATTTATTTTATTTTTTATAAAAAGTTATAAAAAATATATTTTGATAAAAAATTAAAATTGATGATTAAATTAATTAGTTTTTTATTTTATAAAAAGTTATTAAAAGATATAAATGTTTAAATTTAATATATGTACCGATAATTAACTGTGATCCTTTGAAATTATTAAAAAAAAATTCGGTACTAATAGCAATTCTCTTATCTAAATATTCGAAAATATGATAGAAAAGTGAGGCACATGAATTGTAAGTATCAGACGGTTATTAATGCAATTATAGAATGAATCCACTGAAGTGTTCAAATTGTAGCGTGTATATAGTTATTATTGATTCCATTGCAAAGGCTCACATTTATTCCGTTTTATTATCCACTCTAGAGGATTTTGTCGGAACTATATAACACACATCTCCTTTGATGTCTCTACAAATTTGAAGTAAAAGACCAAGAAAGAATATCATGTGTCTCCACCAAGTCACCAGTGGCAGCGGAGAATCCAATTTGAACTTCTTCTGGTAGAACAGCAGTCAAATCAACGTCATGCGTGAAGAGTGTATCGGCAGTCAGTGGTACACTACTAGGATAAGTTACCGTGACAGTCAATTTTTGGGCCTCAGAACTATACTCTATGCGTGCATTTGTCACTGTATCATCGGGTTTAAAATTCCTCAGCCATGGCACAGTTACCAATGACTTAATAGAATTGACATTGACTCCTAAATGAGGAAACTGAGTCACAGGATCGGGGTCCCATTCATTTGAAAAGCTATCAAATTCAACAAGCAAAATTTGTTGATTGTTTGAGCTGAATGCAGTGTCAGGGGTAAACATTCCTAGGAACCCACCTTCTGATTGCTTTGAGTCAGGGAAATTGAAGTTTTGTGAGACAAAAAAGAAGGCAAATCCATCCCCGTAATCTTTTTTACCGTTTTTGTTCACCACAAAGGAGAACTCGGTGGCAAAGTCTGCAACTTTGCCACTGCTTTTGTCGTGTATACGAATTGGTTTGATCCATTCTGCTTGGCCCACACTGTGTTGGAATGGATTGCCACTTTGGTCCTTCTTAGTTAGTTGAATTGCTCCATTTGATACAGTGGCTTCATTTGATAAACCTATGACGTTAACAACTTCTGGCCCAAAAGCGGGGAAGTTGAAGGAAATGTCTGATTTGACCTTGTTAAAAAGAAAGAGCGAAAATATTGTGATGGTTAACAGAAGAGATATGGGAATTTTGGTTGCAAGGAGTTTTTGAATGAAAATAGCCATGGATGCCTTCTAATGTGAAAGGTTGAATAGAGAATGGGCTTATATAGGCATGTAAGCGTCAAGTACAATTAGGATATAAGATAAGATAAATTGGCATGGCGAAACTACTTAGGCAAGCCTCAAGTACAAGTTTGATCAACAAGGAATAATGTCACTTCACGCCCCATTTCCTAGGACTATGCGCTACAGTTTCTTTCTTATGGAAAAAATAATGAGCTATCACACTCTTAAATTTTAATTTTTTTCTTTTATATCTTAAAATAGTGTTGTTAAAAAGAAGGACGTGGAATTTTTTTAAAAAATATTTTCAAAGAAAAGAAGGGATAGAATAAAAGTGTATGAAAAGGTGTAAAAAAATGTATTATTAAAAACATACATGCGTAACAAAATAGTCGGAATCGTCGCTTAATAATTAATGCTTAAAAAAGATTGCTTTTAACGTGATACTTATTTCACTGATTAAGTAGCCTATGATATTTCTTTGTTTAACAATACTATACACTCATCTTCTAAATAAGAAAATAGATTTCTTCTCACAAATTTTATGCATTACAAAACAAAACTATTTACCATTATATTATATAAAACTTCAATTATGAATTGAAAAGCATTTAATATGGATGGATTAAGTAAGAATATTGTGTGAAAAAAATTTCACGCCATTTTATAGATAATGATGATTTACTTATTAGTTACTAATTTTATATTTTAATTAAAAATTTAGTTATGGCTGATAAGTTCATATTTTAGCATGTTCTTAGAGAATATTTTGATAAATTTATGTCTTATTTAAATGAGTTTTACAGTGACTATACTCTTAATTATTGTAGTTTAATATGCTAACGACTATGCTTTGAGAGTATGCATTGCCGTGCATAATGGTAAGCATGGTCGTGCTTGTGTGCTTGTCTTCTGTTACAGTCAGAAGAAGAGGTTTCTTATCTAATTACAAAGCAAGAATTTGGAATTTAAACCTTAAATAGATATTATCTCCTTTGATGGAAATTTTAAAATTATCAAAAAGGGTTTCTTGAAGGCATTCAATGTTATTTTTAGTGGATCTCAACTCCTATTTAAGGGACTCCAAAGACAACAAAAAGGACATTCTGATTTTTACACACACATGTTTGAAAAACACTTGGAGTCATAGAGAGTGAGGATCACTCGCAAAGACAAAGAAAGTGACTTCGGAGTCCAAACAAGTGATCAGGAACGCATTTGAAAAACGAGAACTCTGTTCATCCCCCTTTTTTTGAGAATTCCTCTAGTTTGTCTTCTTCTTTCATGTTTATGAAGTTTATTACAGTTTTTTTTATTATTTATTTTGTGATAAGTAACTAAACCCACAACTAGAGCTATGGTGGACCTTTTACATGAATTTGTGTGATTTTTTTATTTAATAATAATTTCAATTTTATTTTTTGATTGATTTTTATATTAATGCCACCACAAGAAAAATAGTTATTTGCGAGTGATTTTTTAGTTACTAATAAAAAAATTTGGTTGCTAATCTAATTAGTGACCAATTTTCAGACTGATATTGTTGGGTTGCTAAATGTATGGTGGCTAATGGTTAACGAAAGATTTAGCAACTGATAATTTAGAGACTGAATTAGTGACCAACTTTAGAGACTGAATTAGTGACTGCCTTAAGAGACTGTATTAGTGACAGAAGTTAGAGATTGAAAATGGCCAACTTTAGTCACTGAATTAGTGACAAATTTTAGAGACTAAATTAGTGACCAACTTTAGATATCAATTTAGTGATCGACTTTAGACATTGATTTAGTGACCAACTTTAGAGACCAATTTAGTGACCGACTTTAGACATTGATTAAATGATTGACTTTAGAGACTGAATTAGTGATCAAATTTTGCTTGAAACTAATTTTAGTGACTAATTTAGAAATAAATTTTGTGACTAGTTTTGAGATGAATTTTGTGACCAATCTTAATGATGATTTAGTGACGAAATTTAAAGACTGATTTAGCAACCAATTTCAAAATTGATGTAGAGACCATTTTTTGTGTCAAAATCAGTCACTAATAATTTAAACATTAATTTTAAAGTATGTGAACTAATTAATTATCATTGAACCTGATAGGCACATATATATCATCAATAATAACAATATTTTTTAGATATGATGGACATCTTTTAGCATACACAATACACATTATATAAGTCTCTAATTCCATACATGATATTACATAATAAGTCTCTAAAACACAATACAAATAACCAACGGAGGTTGATTCAAGTTGCAAGTGACTTACCTGGGTCAAATCTAGATTAAATCGGATGGAAAACAAAAAAAAAAACACAATGCAAATTGTTAAAGTCTCTCATTGCATACGCAATACATACTACATAAGTCTGTAACTCAATACATAATAAAAAAAAGATATGTTAAGTAATATACATAATAGACATTAAATATTTCATTCTAACTCCAAAATTGATGCCCTTATTTGTAGCTTCTTCACAAATAGGTTGCATTGATTGTAAACTAGAAGAATGAAAGTCCATCTTTTCCATCATTTTTCATAACAAATGGTTAGTCAATTGAATATCTCTCTCAGTATTTGCCACACTAGTATGAAGGTCATCCCTTTCAATTTGAACTTCTAATTTCTTTTTCTATTCTTAAAGTTCCTCTCTTTGTACCCACTCAATGATGAAGAACTTGAACCATGATAAAAAGGTCTCCCAGCTACCACAATGAACTCCAATCTAAGGCCATATACTTTTCACATTTTTGTTCCAACTACCTCAAACTACACATCTAACTCACTTGGTGGAGGGGTTCCTTGAGAAGATGATATTTGTGTCGCTTCCTCCCACGTGCATGTAAATTCTGCCTTTTAGAAACAATAATATAAGACAATAATCTTAAAAGCATACATTAAACATAGAAAAATTACACAAAAGTTTGACTTACATCTATATGCGCAGACTTCTCATCCACACATGTCTTATATGTTGGTGTGTGTGACGAATAACTTTGTCTAAGACAAATGTAATAATACATATTAATACAAAGTATGTATAAACATAAATTACAAATTACTACATGATACAAAACAAATTTAATAATAAAGTTTAAAAGTACAAAGACAAAACTTAACCAAATTAGCTCTATGTTGAGAAGTGATAATGGAACCACTAATGTGGAGTGACCCTCCAAATCCTCCACAATCAGATGCTCAGTTTATTTTTGCTTGTGTGCTTTTTTCCTTAAATTGTCCACTTCTCTAATGTTCACATAGTCTATACCAAACATGATCTACAAGCCAATTTGGTTTATTCATATTAGCGCAGACCTTGTTAAAAGAATTTTTCAATAATATTGCAACAAAAAAATAATGAGAGTCAAACATGTACTCCAATATTTCAAACACCTTAAAGAGATTTTTTCAATACTTAGTATTTACTGTGTACCTACCAACAAAATTGAAAGAATCAACTAATTATGCTATAAAGCATAAAAATGTATGCTTGCATGTCTCAATGTACCTTAACATAAAAAAGAATGTGATTCCTAATTTAATAAACTAAAATAGCAATTTAATTTTAATTGGAAACATAACCTAATAAAAGTAGATCCCTTTTCTCATCAAAACTTATATTTAGTAGGTCATGCGTGTTTAGTATAAAAGAAAAGGTTTACCTACTGAAATCTCCTAACATGGGTTAATCCACTTAAGGCAGTACTAGCTTCATTCTGATGTAAAACCCTAAAGTCCCAAAATTAGCAACACGAAGAGGAAGGTCTGCAAAGTCATTTAATGAATTCTAAAAAAGTTCCTTATAAACTAATAACATAAACACAATTTTTTATCTTGAAAAGTAGTTCTAAGCTTAAATTACACTTGTACCATCAGCGTATGAACATCTTAACGACAACTCATATGCTTCAATAGACATTAAAAGCATATCTTACCTCTCCGAGAATTTACCAGTTTTATCAAATCCGTGTAAATCTGATGTTCAGTCACACATAAACGTGTATTTTATGAGTACAAAACATTTATCAAACATTGCTCTTTTAGTTCCTTACACAAAAAATAACAATGTATGTACCTGGTTGGAGGACACGAGAGAACAATAGGGTGATAGAGTAGAGGACATGAGAGAAGAAAAGGGAGGCAAACCAGAGGACGAAAGAAAAGAACACTGAGATAGAACTGTGGATTTGGGAGAACAACAAGACCAAAGGATGTAGACAGCAGCAGAAGAACATAAGAAAGGATTTCAACGTTTTCTGAACAGGACTTAGGGTACGAGGCAAGTAAGTAAAAAATGTATTATTCTATATAATTATTATATTATTTTATTTTATTATAATTATTTTTATAATAAATTATTTAAATTTATAAATTTACTTATTTTTCTTTTAATATTATGCTACACATTTTAATTTAAAATTTTGATTAGGATATATAGGTATACTTGTAATACCCCGAATTTTGGTAATATTAATTATTATTCTTATATATATATATATATATTCATATATGTGTTGATTTATTTGAAAATGATGTTTTATGTGTATTAATTACATGGATATGTGTATGTATGACTGGTTGGGCTGAAATGCGCTAAGTGTCTAAGTACAGGGCGAGATACTGGGCTGTTCTCGTTGCAACGAGAGGATTCTCATTGTAGCGAGAAGGCCCTGGGAGGAAGGACCAGAACTGTCACCTTCTCGCAGTAGCGAGAGACGTCTCGCTGTAGTGACAAAGCGACAGTTTGGGTGCATTTCTGGGTGCAGTCTCGCTACAGCGAGAGGGTCTCACTGTAGCGAGATTATGTAAAAACCAAAGTGCAGTTTTCTCTGGTTTTTTCGCTGTAGTGAGAGGGCGTGTTGGACCTTGCTGCAGTGAGAATATCTCGCTGCAGCGAGAATATCTCGTTGTAGCGAGAGTGTCGCGACCAGAAAAGGATTTAAAAGGGGCTAAGGTTTGGGGAGAGTAATTTCTCCCTCTCCCTTCGAAAT